AAGAATTAGTAGACATTTTTGGAAAAGATGAGATGACAACAGAGGAAAAAAGAAGTCTTGATAAGTATTTATTATAATTATTATTATTATATTTATATAAACGAAACTACACATACATTCAACATCTTAAAACATAATAAATACGTCTATTTTCAATTAAATCATATTTCTTTGCCATTCTAATTTCCCATCAGTCATAAAATATTGGGCAAACAATTCTCTCTCAACGCAGTTTTAGCGTTCCTTCTTAACCCTTCCTGTGTTAAGTTTTCTGTCAAAGGGCAACTGAGTGAGTCGTCGTAACAATAACCATCTCGGTCTCTTACAAAATTATGTAGTACACAAGTAGCTTTTATAATATCTTTTGCTAGATCAAAGTGAACATTTAGAGGTCTATGAAATATACGCCACTTGTTTGCATAAATTCCAAAACTGCATTCTACATATCTTCTTGCTCTAGAAAGCCTGTAATTGAACGCTCTTTTAGTTTCATCCAAATCTTTTTTTGCGTATGGGCGCATCATATTCGTAGATAATGCAAATGCCTCGTCGCCTACAAAAACGTATGGCATACATGTCTCGCTGTTTTGTGAAATAGGCTGTGGCTCTGGAATATCCAATTGGTTTTTTTGCATTCTTTCGTAGAAAACAGAATTTTGAAATAATGACGAGTCACTGAATTTACCAAAAGCTCCAATATCAACCATAACAAATTTGAAATTACTGTCGCATACTGCTAATAAAACCAAAGAGAAAAAACTTTTATAATTAAAGCACATTGAGCCACTGTTATTAGGTGCTATACATCGTATGTGCTTGCCATCGACAGCACCTAAGCAGTTAGAAAAATTAGCTCTTTGAAAAAAATCATTCGCAATTTTTTTCCAAGCGTCTTTTTTTGGTTGAGGCAAACAAATATCTTTCAGACAAAACCAAATTGCAAAACAAACTTCTCGTATGATTTCTGCTACAGTGCTTACTCCAATTTTGAATGTACAGTAGAACCTCGATAACGTAAACCTCGGTAACATAAAAACCTCTGTTACTTCAAAAAACTACTACTATGTTCCCTTCCCATCAGAGCCCAAAACCTCTATAACTTAAAATACGCAACCTCTATAACGTAAATAAATAATCTCTGTATAGGCCCTCAGTAACTAAAAGAAATGTTTCCACAACCTCTATAACATAAAATTGTTTGTGAATGAGTCATTTTATAAGAGTGTCAAAACAAATGGTTTCGGTATTTATTGCTTGCACGTGTTTACTAATGTATTGTTAACGTAAACAATACATTACCTATTGTTTGCTTTATCTAAATTCTTCAAAGCTTTGCGGCGGTTAGCTTTGTGACAACGACTTACTTGCATCATAAGTTAATGTGTTAATGTATTCTCCTCTCTATTTGTCATTGAAAATCAAATCGATTATAAACAGTGAATTTTTTAAAACAAAAGAAAATCACAGTTTTTTTTAAGTAGACTTAACCTTTAGTTGTTGTTTTATTTTTATGTAATGTAAGTAATGTGAATAAATATGATTAAATATTTAATTTTCCATCCTTCTGATGCATTCAAGTAAAAATGGGAGGAAGGGTACATAGAAACATGTACATACCTCTATATTAGCCTTTACCTGACATAAAACCTTGATAACTTAAAACCTCGATAACATAAAATATTTTGTGTTTCCCTTGGACTTTATCTTATCGAGGTTCTACTGTATAATGTAGTTCCGCAAATGTACAACCTGTTGCAAAATATCTGAAACAAAAATTTTATAATTACTACATGCATTATTTAATTCAATTTAGATATGTACCTATATTATACTTCTATTACTTTATGACTATATCATTAACTTGTTTGTTGTATTGTTCTAGGAAAAGAATTACAAAAAAATGGAAAAACATCAGGGATAATTTTGTGAAAGCTCTAAAGGACAATGTTAGCAGGAGTGGGTCAGCAGCTAAGAAAAAGACTCAATACATATTTTACAATAATTTAATGTTTTTGAAAGACACAGTATCCATCAATGAAACTGATTCAAATATGCCAAGGCAAGAAAATGATGGAAATGAAACAGAAAATGTCACTGACCCAGTCATACCACCACCGCCAAAACGAAAAAAAAAGAAGATGATATAGGAGTTGAATTGATTAACGTCTTAAATAAGAATGTCGAGTTCAGAAAGGCCGAAGAAGATGAAGATAGACTGTTCTTTTTGTCGTTGGTTAGTGAAATAAAAAAAGTGCCTGAACATATACGCCTACGAACAAAAGCTAAAATAATGCAAGTCATTACTGAAGCCCAAACGTCTGGATACAACTACTGTAACTCTACTTGGGATTACGTGCGACCATTTAACTACAACCAAGGGCCACATCAAGGATATCAGACACCATCATTTGCTAGAAATAATAACCCACCACCACCACCACCACCACCGCCCTCAGTTCCACCTACACATCGTGGAACATGAATCAACATATTCACAGAATACACATATGTCTCAAGAATCTGATTATTTAGATCTTTTTAATGATAATAATTCTCAGTAATAGTTATAGTTTCCTACTTTTATTGTTCTTTGTGGTTATGAATACACATTGCGATTCAAATTAAAACATAATAGCTAGCAAAAACATTTTTTATTTAAAATACATACCTTAACGTTATAACTAATTTCTCTTCGGGTTGGATACAGTCACGAAATTTAGTATCTTGTCCTTTGATGGTGACATATAAAACTGTTAGTAATTCTTCAAATGACGAAACACTCATTCTAACATAGCCAAAGAATTTATCTTGGTGCTTCTTCAGTTCTTGAAAACAACTTGCGAACTGGCCAAATTCATTACGTGTTTCTAGTAAAGGATGAATCCAGTATCTTTTTTTTATTTTTCTTTCGTTGTTTTGGGGAGTAATAATAAATAACACAAGCTATCTCGACGGCGTCCATTTTGTTTATGAGGTACGCGGGCCGCTCTGGTCCAACCGCTTAACGCGTTATCATCGCGGTTTTTTCGCGATTGGCCGCCATAGCGGTCAGCCGCGATGAAACCGCGTTAAGCGGTTGGACCGCTCAAACGAACCGCCTAGGCGGTCAATCGCTAGTGCGTATAAGCCCTTAGACTGGACGGAAGCGATTTCGGTCCAAACCATCGATCGGCGACCAGTTAACTAGACCTCTGCTTATTATTTCTGTTTTGTTTCTCTTGAGCTCCTGGTACTTCCAAACATTTGGACTTGGGTGGCGCTTGAGTTGACCAAACGAAGAATTTAGTGATTTCAGAGCCAGCAGTACTGAAAATATGATTCGTTCTCCTAACAAATGCAATTCTGACCCTAATCTAATACAATCAGTATTTTGATTTCAATTTTGTTAGTTCCCGAATAAAGCGAAAGCGGTGTATCGAGCAATTATCAGATTTTGAGGACTTTAAGCAGGAAATGATGGATATGTTTGCTACTATTGACGCAGGAAAAAGCTATTTTGGCTACGAACCAAGAAATTGAAAAATTTATCTCCTTTCTGTCCTCGCAATACCAGGACTTGTCTCGAAAAGTCCGTGACATTGAGGAGGTACGAAAAAAGGATCATGAATACTATTTTATAATAAACTCTCATTAATATATAAAAAATTGTTAATTTTAAGACGCGGACTCTATCACGGCGGTTGAGGGAATATAATTGTATCTCATAGCAAAACCAACCCTCAACTGCCTAACCCACGTTCAATGTAAAAATTTTCCTTACTTAACAATAAATAACAACATCATGAAAAGCTTATTTTAACATAGCTTCCTCGGCCCCGGGGCGTAAGTCGCCGGGGAGGTAGGCCCACTATCAATTAAATTTAAAAAAAAAACCATTCTCTCTTGCCACTCATAAGCACCTTACTCTGATGTTGTTGTGTATTATTTCATCTCAACCATCAACATCTTCCAATCGTAAACGACGCGCAGATACACTGGCTGCGGATGACTTACTGGATACTTTAAATAACCAACTAAATTCTGACTTATTTAATGTTCGAGAAGATGAATATGATGCTGTGGGTAAGAATTTACAGCGACAGAGACAACCAGAATCCTAACATAAAAATTGCTGAACGATGTAATGTTTGCCGCACAAATGAATACCATAACTATGGACACAGCCCTATACACCCAGCAACGTGGTTATAGCACCTACAATAGTGATAACGTTTAATAAATAATTGTAAACACCTACTTTAATAATGATAATGCTTAATAAATAATTGTAAACACTTACTTTCATTATTCTTTTAACACGTTGAATATTAAAAATTACCGTACTTCGATAACTGCGCAGCGAGATTTGTCGCTTACGTAAGAGAGCGAAATCTTTCAAAGACAGACTATCACAGGCTGCTAAATTGTGCAAAGTCAATGCCTTTGGATAGTGCTGAAAAATAAGAGCAAAAGAGCTCCAGTCTCAGAACGGGTAAATGACACAAAGGCGCAAATCTCTAAAAGGGAAAAGAGTGGCGTCACGACGTATTTACTGTGAACGACCAGACCATCATTTGATGCTCCCCATTTGGTAAAAGGTATGAGGAACAATTTTTTCTTTTCTTCCGTTCTACGCCCTTGTTTTGAGAACTGGCAGCAAATGTAAAATTAGAAGCATTAATATGTATTTCTTTACTGACGAGTCATAAGTGTACATTATGTTACCTACATGATTAAATGATTTTTTACTTTTTTTTTATAACATTCATATCTTACATTCACAGCTCACATACGTTGCCACGAAGATGGTCCGACAAAATGAGCAAAGGTTGTAAAGCACCTATTTCCAAGGGCAATATGCTAGTGATTCAATCCAGATGCTTTGTTTATCTTAGGGCAAAAAAGGAAACAGGAGATTATCACAGTAATGTGAATGCTGATATTTATCAGAAATGGTTCTCTTATTCAGTTGATAACTCATACCATCAGCTGTCTTAAGGTATTCAACGATTAGCATATGGATGGCTAATATTTGGATTCTGGCATTCAATCAAAATTATGATTATATTTTCACTATTTCAACTATTGTCAGGTGTCGAGACCCAGAGACATTAAATGACGCCATAAACTTTGCAATTTCCGAGGAGAAAATAATGGAAGCTTCTCGGAAAAGATATAATAATCCTCTAAGTCAAGGGCCGCCCAATAAAAATAATAATTCGCGCCCTAACTACCAATTCAGAGATCGCTATCAAAACAAACCAACATCAACTTATGAACGCGCTCCTAATAATGTAAATTTAAGCAGTGCACAGTCACTATTCTGTCGATACTGTATAGCTAAAGGGCACGTATTGGAAAACTGCCGGAAGCGCGAATTTAATAATAAAAGATTCCAAAATACAAATCAAAATCCACGTACATTCCAACCACGAACTAACAATAGTTCTAACCACGTAAACTTTGCAGATCCGATATCTTACGAAGATACCAATAATGATGAAGTTGTCGATGATTTAAACTGAATCCTGATTCGCGTCAGTGCCGTGCGGGTCATAGAATAAAATACGGCACAACATATAACAACAATGTTGTCAATTATAGTATTCCCATTTCTTTACCCTCTAAACAAAAATCCAACTCCTTGACTCCGCTACATGATAGTCAATTTCGTAAAACTCCAATATCCTCGCAGGCTAATCCAAATCCACAGGCTCCGCGACATGGTTGCCATATTATTAACCAACGAGACGATGTTGTGACTAAATCCTCTGTATCCACTATACCTAAAAGTCCCACTAAATCTTATGCTTCCGCCGCGAAGTTTGGACTTCCTAATTCCACTGTATCCAATACATCCACAAACTCTAACTCCAAAGACACACCTACTGTGTTCGAGGTGACATCCAATGCCATAAAGAGATCCTTACCATATGTATTACTCCAGACAAATGTCTCTGAAATCCCAATCAAATTCCTAATCGATTCAGGCTCGTCAGTTAGCCTAATGAAACAATCTTGCATCGGTAAGTGATTAGATTGAAAACTACAGTTCATTATTAAATTAATTAAATAATCAATAAATCGAAAATTAAAGATCAGTTTCAATAAAAAAATATATATGCAATGCAAATGCAATTAATTAATTATTAATTGTTTTTTTATTAGATTACGAACAATGGATAAACCAACGGCTAGCAGCATGGCTGATGAAAATAGCTGCTTAATATGTATACACCTGGGTTCATCTTCCGAAACAAATTCAAATTTAGGTGAAATTATAAAAATTTGTAGAGGAGTAACCTCTTTACAGGCTTCTTCAACCGAACGACAACATGGATTGTTACCTCACCTACAAACTGAATATTTTAGTAACAATGAACAATATGCATATGTACTACACAAGTCAGCCCCATAATAAAAGAACACGGCCAGAAATAGCAACACTGAATCCGATTTATTCATCAGCACATTCACCTTCAACAGCTAGTACCTCTCAAGCTGATATTGGTCAAAGCAGTCCAAGTGAATTGCAGTACAGACCGGATTCTTTTGATGACATCAATCACATGAGAGTACGTTTTAATATTAAATCTCAGGAATTCCAACACCAATGAATTTGGACGTCTTTTCTTGAAAATGTCAGACCAAAAGCGAGGAGGGCTTCTATAGTCTTCGAGAAGATAATGAAATAAAATATATGCTGCACTAGCCACTAGGAAACATGTTCGCTCAATGTACGCAAGAGGGCTGTGGAAACAGCTGTTTAATTTGAGTCCTTTAAAATTTATTTTTAATAACTTTGTTATATATTTCCTTAAAGTTTTTCCATTCTGTTATTAAATATTTAATTAGTGCTGTGTTTAGCGAAAACCGACGAGAGTCGCAGATGGAAGACCGAAGCCGAAAAAAATCTCCAATGCCGTACTGCTATTACCATCATCGCTACGGTATGGACGCGAAGAAATGCGCACCACCGTGCAATTTCAAGCCCATTAACCAGTCGGAAAACTAAAAGTAACGCTGGCCGCGGCGGGATCTGGCGTTACCGAATCATCACACCGCCTTTTCGTTACCGACAGGGTAACGAAACTTACCTTTTTGGTCGACACAGGAGCCAATATCTCCGTGCTACCAAAGAAAAAAGGCTCACGCGAAAAACCATTGCCGTTTCAACTGTACGCCGCCAACAACACTGTAATTCCAACATACGGAGAGAAGTCACTCACACTCGATCTTAACCTCCGAAGACCATACACATGGAAATTCGTCGTAGCAGATGTGTCCAAGCCAATCCTGGGAGCAGATTTCTTACAGTACCACCACCTCATTGTCGACGTAAAAAACCGACGATCGATCAACGGGAAAACACAGCTGGTAACTAACGCTCAACACAGTACTGCGGGCATACCTACAGTTCGTAGTATAGACATTGAGCAAAATTACCACAGCATACTAGCAGATTTCCCAGGCACGACTAGACTCACTTCAATGAAGCTTAGTCCTAAACATTCCGTCGAACACTTCATTGAAACAAATGGACCGCCTCTTCACTGCAGGCCACGCCCCATTGCGCCGCATCGCTACGAAATGGTCAGGAAAGAATTTCAGAACATGATAAACCAAGGGTTAAGCAGACCAAGCAAAAGCCCTTGGGCATCACCTCTTCACGTCGTGCCTAAGAAGAGTGGAGAGTTACGCGTGTGTGGCGATTACCGAAGGCTCAACGCTATAACCAAGCCCGATCGGTATCCCATACCACGCATACGTGATTTCACATACCAACTCGCAGGGAAGAAAATTTTCTTTACACTCGACCTAAACCGGGCGTACCAACAACTGCCAGTCAGCGAGCAAGATGTGGAGAAAACAGCTATCATCACACCATTTGGCCTTTTCGAGTTTCCGCGCATGTGTCCTGGTCTAAAAAACGCCGGACAGACATTCCAACGCTTAATTCATGAAGTACTGCGCGAACAAGACTTCGTATTCCCTTTCGTTGATGATCTACTGATAGCGTCAATCGACGAGGAAGAGCACCGAAAACATCTACGCACCGTATTACAGCGACTAGAAGAATACGGCATTACCATCAACCCATCAAAATGTGTTTTCGGCCAGCCAACTGTCAAATTCCTCGGTCATCAAGTCACGGCGAAAGGAATACAACCACCCCAAGAGAAGGTACAGGCTATCACAGATTTTCCAAAGCCACAAACCGTAGAGGAACTGCGACGTTTTCTCGGTATGATTTATTTTTATCGCGAAAATATCAAAGACGCCGCCACCATACAAGCGTCGCTAAATACTTACCTGCACAACATCAAGAAGCGTGACAAAACTAAGATCGACTGGACCGCTGAATCATCGCAAGCTTATGAAGCATGTCAAGAGAGCATAAAAAAACGCCGCTTTACTCGCTCATCCGTCTCACCATGCGACGCTTGCGATATTCAGCGACGCGAGCGACAAAACAGCTGGTGCCGCACTCAACCAATTTGTCAACAACTCATGGCAACCACTCGGCTATTTTTCTAAGAAATTCAGCGACGCACAGACTCGCTACAGTACTTACGATCGAGAGCTACTCGCCATCTACATGGCTGTCAAACATTTTCGCAAAATTTTCGAGGGACGAGAAATAATAATATTCACGGACCACAAGCCGCTAACATTCGCTTACACAAAAACGAATACAAACAGCGAATCACCGAGACGCACCCGACAGCTACTTTATATCAGCGAATTTACCACTGATATGCGACACATCAGTGGGTCTCAAAATGCAGCCACAGATGCATTATCACGCATCAACGCAATCACATGTCCATCGCCGATCGACTACAATTTACTTGCAAAAGCTCAAGAGCGCGATAGCGATACAATTCAAGCACTCGGTTTACAGAGCAACTTATCTTTCAAGGAAGTAAACCTGCCCGCGTCAAACATCAAATTACTCTGCGAAACTTCAACCTCATACATACGTCCGTACCTACCTGAAGAATACCGACGTACCGCATTAAAGTAAGTACTACTTTACGTATATATATAATAATAATACTAATAGACCTGTGCCATTAGTCTTAAATCACTACATACTTAACTTGAGTATTTACACTTCTTATTGGAAGCCAAAACAACACCTTTGTAGCATTATGATGACTCGCAGAGGCCTTGCCTTACAAGAAGAGTCTAAACTTAAGCTAGCGCTAAGGGAATTGAATGCTTCCAGGGAGTTGTGTGCTCAGATAACATTAGAGAGAGAGGACAATGAAAGAGAACTGTTGGAAGTGCTAGAGGCCAATAAAAAGCTTAAAGCCGAACTATTATTGATATTTCAGCAAAATAACACACTTCAGGATGAGTGTGACTTGCTGAAAAGTCTATTGGACAAGCTTGATGGCTATGGCTTAGAATATGAAAGTGCCTTGAAACGCATAGCTGATCTTGAAAGGGAATTGTATGAGGCTAATCAACATATTATAAAGCTTGAAGAAGCCTCACACCAAAAGTCAGAGACTATAACACAAGACCTTTTTAAAGACTTAGTTTGCAATAGTTCACTTTCAAAATCTAATTCTTCTACAGCATATAAAAATATTAATGGATGTAGTATAAAAATAATCAAGAAATACATTAAAATCAATAAATTTGTAACTAAAACTCAAAAATTACTCAAAAAGTACAACATTGTATTAGATAGTAAAAAAATAATGAAGGAAAACTTAAAACTAATATTGACATGCACTTAATTAAACTTGAAAATAGTAGGATTAAATATGAATTTGACACCCAACAACTGCAAAAGGAGATCTTGGATCTTCAAAATATAGCAGATTCCATGGTATCAAAACTCCTGGAGTCACAAATGATGGTTTCTAAATACTCGACTGCTATGGAAGATCCACACATGCAGCACAATGCTTTGAGCTTGAAAACTCAAGCCAGTCTGTACAGGTGCCATCACCAGTATGTAGGGTTAATAACATTTCAAAGCCAAAATTAAATTTAATGTACTGCCCTGCGATTCTGTAACTCACTGTTAATCCGTGAGTCCACTACGCAGTAACAGCGCTCCCTTCGTCACTGACGTAATTTTTGGAATCTCATGGTATTCTGTTAAGAAATTTTACATTACGTCTTGATAAGTGGAGGGAGGTAACCTAGTGAGTTGTTGTCTATTAATATCGTGACAATTGACTCATTTTATTTTATAAAAAGAGTTAATTGTCAAAATTTTCATCATACATAAACAAAATATTTTTAATAAAACAAAATAGAGAACAAAATGGTCGACGTTTGAAATAAAATTAATAATATTAAAAAAAAGATAAACTGTGAAAATATCTCAAAAATGACTTATCTGATGGAAAATAATTAGCAAGATTAACATAGAAAAATTATTAAACCCATCTGGCAAAGGGGCCGCTTAAAGGTAAGTTTATTTATTAGTACATCTTAAGTTACGTATTTTGTTTATAACATTAAGAGTTTATATTTCGTATTTAGCCGACAACTGACCAGCCGTGGTGTATATGAGCGACAGAAACTTAAAAATATTAATTATGTTTCAGCACGAAACAAGGGATACCTAACATCTGGATATATTGTACAAAATTTAAGAATATTATCTTAACAAAAAGATTATTATGTCACGCTAAAAGTGATTCTCTCAGCAAATGGTCTAAGGATTCAAACTAAACAGGATGGATAGGTATCTTAAATTTTCAAAATATTACTAAAGGTGAATGCCAATGTTTTCAATATTTTGTTGAGTAATTATAAAATAAAAGGGTACCTATCTATAAAGAAGAATAATTTGTGTTTATATATTTATTCATTTAAGTGTATGTGCAAGTGTTGGTACTTTTTAGATGCCACGAAACTACTATTGCAACCTTTTTTAAGTGATTCAGAGGTCAAACACACAACAACAATATTACCTATGTTTTTACTAACACTCTTAAAAACTGAATTCTATTAAAACTATTTTAGAAATATAATAACTATCATAGTAAATAAATAGGAATAAGCAATGTCTAGAAAAATAGTTAACAATGTTTGTTTGATGGCAAATTTGAAGTCAAATGTAATAGGTTAAATCGAGGCGACATTGTAAAGAATAATTAAATTGTTAGTTAAAAATGTCAAATATAAAAAATATTTTTAGGTTTTCTAACTTCAAATTCCATTCATGAAATATAAGAAGTATTGTTCAGATTTCAGAACACAAGTATAAATAATCATGTTAGGTATGTTGGATCAAATATATAAGCTTTCAATTGCTCAAATTCATACCATTTCAAGTGATCAACGTTAATTTTAAATGTTGGAAATGACATTGCCATAACTTATTTAATAAACATAGAAGCCATCAAAAGATAGTTAATCTATTTTAGTTGTTATTATATTGTAGTCAGCACTACACTTTAGCACTAAACATACCCTTTATGGGTCTTGGATTTGTTTCATTAATAAATAATTGTATTTAAAGTACATACTTAGATTTGCTCAAGATTTTTTTTAATTCATAGTACTGAATCAATAACTGTGTGCGAAATTACTAAGCTTTGTTACCATAAAACTTTCAATAATATTTGGCTTAGTTATAATATTA